ATTGTGCAAGGCATACAGTAATAGTCTGAATAGTCGATTAATCGTTTAATTAATCGATAGATTAATCGATTATCAAATGAGTCGTTTGTTGCAGCCCTATTGTAGTTATCCCATGTATAAATAAAACGTGTTATTCGGCAACCCTTGCAATTTGGGATTTTATTTTTGGTTGGTAGACCTCGGTGAGCTGGTCATTTCAAAAGTAGCTCACCAGCCAAAAAAAGTGTGGGCACCCCTGCTCTAAGGAGTCGTTGAACGTATCCAATAGCAAGGGAGCCAGTTGATCAGAGAATTTCTTTAAAACGTTAGCTGGGAAGCCGTCCGGGCCCGGTGCATTGCCATTCTGTATTCCTTTGAGACTGTCTGTAACCTCCTTTAAACTGAGTGGAGCATCTAGATTCCTTTTACTTGTTTAGTTGATCATAGGGAAGTCCAAATTATCCAAAAATGGTTTCATTAAGATGTTGTCAGGTGGAGCCTCTGATTGGTAAAGATTAGAATAGTACGAAGCGAAAACATTATTTATCTCCTTTGGGTCTGTAACTATTGTATGGGGGGGATTTCCGAATCTGTGTAATAAAACGTGAGGCAGATTGATGCTTTAGTTGTAATGCTAGCAGTCGGCTGGCCTTGTCCCCATATTCATAATAGGTACTCTTTGTGCGCCTTAAAACAAACTCTGCTTTGTTTGTGGAAATAAGATCAAATTCAGTTTGGAGCTTGAGTCTCTCCGTCTGAAGAGCGGGACCAGGAGAGGAGGGGTTCTGTCTGTCAATTTGTAGAATTGCTTCCATCAGCTCAAGTTGTCTCTGTATTCGCTGCTTATGTTCCCTGGCACTGTAAGAGATTATTTCACCGCAAATGACTGCTTTACAGGTTTCCCACAGGAGGGAAGGAGAAGTCGAGTCAGATTTTTTTATTTAGGATAAAGAGCCTAATTTTCTGAGAAATAAATTCTCAGAATTTATTAGAAGATAATAACCCAGTATTCAATCTCCAATTTGAGCGCTGTCCACTTTTAGGAAGCAATTCCAAGTCCAATAAAAGGGGGGCATGGTCTGATATGACTATTGCTGAGTATTCACATAATTTCACTGTAGGAAGGATTATTTGGCTAAAAAAGAATAATCAATGCGAGAATATGTTTGATGAACATGGGAATAGAATGAAAACTCTTTTGCTGTTGGGTGGCTGAATCGCCACGTATCCACACAACCGATTTGGTCCACAAGTGTCATAAGAGCTCTAGCCGTACTAGATGGGGTTAGGTTTTTTGGCTTGGATAAATCAAGGGTATGATTAACAACCAAGTTAAGATCTTCCCCCAAAATAAGGTGGTGTGAATCCAGGCATGGGATTAATGAGAATAAGGACTTCATAAAATTAGGACAACTCCAATTAGGGGCATAGACGCAAACCATAATAACAGGAGTTTGGAGCAATACACCCACGACTATAATGTAACGCCCATTTGTATCAGAAATACACTTTTCTAAAGAGAACTGCAGTCGTTTGTGTAGTAAAATTGCTGTACCTCTGGAACGGCTTTTGAATCCGGAGTGGAACACTTGTCCGACCCAGGGTTTCTGCAGTCTGGTGTGGTCACAGACACGCAGGTGGGTCTCCTGCAGAAAAGCAACGTCCGTCGTCATATCCTTAAGATGTGAGAATACTCTGGTTCTTTTAGTAGGCCCGCCAAGTCCTCTGACATTCCAGCTTGTAAACCTGATTGATCCTTGCGTAGCTCTCTGTCTCATATCAGCCATAGAGCATGAGCCACAAGATCAGCCTTTGGAATAATATGATGAAATTATGAATTAGCCAGTAGGCTACAACACTGAGCAAGGTAACAACTTCAAATGTGTTTATAAAGATGGGCACCAAAGAAAACAGTTCCTCCCGTATTGAGAAAAAAGAAAGAGAAAGAAAAAAACACACACAAAAAACACAACCCAACGACATCAGATGTCTGAATCTCTAACAAATCCATTCATGTATTTTTTCTACATGTATTTTTTCTTTTAATGTTTCTTTTATTATCTTTTCTTTTTAATGACTGTTTTTAAATGCCTTTGTCTTAATGTCTTTCATTTTTGTAAAGCACCTTGAATTGCCTTGTGTTGAAAGGTGCTATATAAATAAACTTGCCTTGCCTTCAGGAAGGATTAAAAAAGACCCTAGGGTCTGGGCCGACCTCACATGGAGGGGCAGACTGTTCCAGAGCCTAGGGCCAGCTGCTGCAAAGGCTTGGTCCCCTCGGGTTTTGAGCCTGGTCTTGGGCAGTATCAGCAGCAGCTGGTCAGCCAACCTTAAAGCTCTGGAAAGGGTGTGGCGATGGAGGAGTTTGGCTATATAAAACAGAGCCAGCCCATTAAGGCTTTGAAAACAAATAAAAGGAGTTTAAAATCAATTCGGAACCGAATTGGAAGCCAGTGTAATGAGGCCAGAATTGGGGTGATGTGGTCAGAGTTCATATAACTTGTGAAGTGGTCCTTGTTCATTATTGTATATTGCTCTCGAGTCTCAGTTATTCAAGCTGTGCTACTTCACTGAACTGTGACTCAGTTAGACATCGTTTAAACAACATATTGATCTAATGCCAATGGAATTAAGACACAATACACTCCATCAAGTCAGCCCTTGAATACTTTGTGCTGGGTCCTTAATGTTGTTGACGAAAAAGGAAAGTCAAGGACTGTATTCAAATTCCTAATATATACACCATATATAGGTATGGCTAATTATACAGATACAGCTAGAACAAATACATATTAACTAGCATTTCAACCTATGCAGAAACAGACACTCATGATGAAGGAAATTGCTTTTTAATGCTAAAAATAAATAATTGAAAGTTGTGTTGCTGTATGTTGTAAAAATAGACATGTACCCCTGTGGCAGGATATGATTTATTTGTGCATATTCCTGTGTATGTGACTCAGTGTCAGGCGAGGCCCACCAGGGTTATATAATATAATTGGGTTGTAAATGGCTTGATATTTAATAGATGTCAGCAATCAGTATGTCATTGTTAATTATTCAGCCCATGGGGTCTTTGACTCTATTTGATGATTTTTAAGATGTCCAAGTCGTTCAATGTCAAAAACAGCATTCTCACACACTGCATGTAAGTCAGAAGCAGGACAATAACTTTAAACGGTTGTATTTTGTGCAACAGCCCTTTAATAAATACTGCCTTTATGAGGCAGAAGATGTTTCCTTATTGGTTAAACTGTCAGTCACAGATTCAACGTAGTTAATCTGAGTAATGTTGCTCATCTAATATACGTTCACTGTGTTTGCAAGACACTAATAATTAACTTTGTATGCACACATGTAGTTACAATTAGACAGAGTGCAGTCCCTGTCCTTCAAAACGGATTGAATCCTTCATCTCACAAACTCTGGATGAGCAAAAATTCCCCAAAATAACACAGTATCTTTAGTGTTTATATAATTACCCACTTATTGAGAAGACTTGAATTGCCAACAGTTAGTGGTATCTTTTGATTCTCGTTATCCTTCATAATCCATTATTACTAAGGCTGTCAATCAATTAAAATATTATTGCAACAATCCAAACTAAAGACTATTTTAAGTTAATTTAAGGCCTGCAAGTTGTAGCCACTCTGCATCAGCCGTAATCTTAGCCAGCGAGTGGTGTTTGAGACTCAATGTACTCCGGTGCTAACTTATAACCAGGCTTGGATTTTCGTCATTTTAGGGGTAAGGCCATTTGGCCTTTGGTGTCACACATTTTTACATGCCAGGGCACAAAGGCCACATGCCAGGGCACAAAGGCCACATGCCAGGGCACAAAGGCCACATGCCAGGGCACAAAGGCCACATGCCAGGGCACAAAGGCCACATGCCATGGCACAAAGGCCACATGCCAGGGCACAAAGGCCACATGCCAGGGCACAAAGGCCACATGCCAGGGCACAAAGGCCACATGCCAGGGCACAAAGGCCACATGCCAGGGCACAAAGGCCACATGCCAGGGCACAAAGGCCACATGCCAGGGCACAAAGGTCACATGCCAGGGCACAAAGGCCACATGCCAGGGCACAAAGGCCACATGCCAGGGCACAAAGGCCACATGCCAGGGCACAAAGGTCACATGCCAGGGCACAAAGGTCACATGCCAGGGCACAAAGGCCACATGCCAGGGCACAAAAGCCACATGCCAGGGCACAAAGGTCACATGCCAGGGCACAAAGGTCACATGCCAGGGCACAAAGGTCACATGCCAGGGCACAAAGGTCACATGCCAGGGCACAAAGGCCACATGCCAGGGCACAAAGGTCACATGCCAGGGCACAAAGGCCACATGCCAGGGCACAAAGGTCACATGCCAGGGCACAAAGGCCATTGAGGGAAAAATTACAGAAACAAATAAAAAAGACCACAAAGCGAAAAGCAGCTGACTTACTCAAAGAGTCTGAACTTTCTTCAAGTAACTGATCTGAAAGTATAGACAATTCCTTTCTATTGCGTTTTCTATGATTCTTATGTATCACTTGTGACATCTCTATTAAAAAAGCCATCTAAACGTGTATACTGTAACAGATGTATTGTGTTGTATTCAAAGACAGCAAAGAGGTTCAAGAGGAAAGGATTAAAGAAAGGTTCATTGTTCAATCCTTTCTTCTGCAACCACTTTGCTATCTTTGAATATTAGACAATACATGTGTTACAGTATACATGTTTAATTTGATAGGTGATTGTTATTACATAGTATTTCAAATGTTTAGTAAATATTTTTAAATGTATTCAAATTCAGGGGGATTCAAGATCTTCATAAAATAGGCAAAACTACTACTTTTTTCCCCTTTTTTAATTCATATTCATCAAGCATACATTTCCAGGCTACACATGTTCCTTCTATGGACCAAACCTTAATTGCTTTGCCTTTCTCCTTTATGTCAGCTTTGGTTTTTAAGATGATCGATCTCTGGCATTCTGACCTATTTTTCCATGTATCCCTCTCTTCCTGCCAGAAGCCGAAGAAGCCACCTCCGCCTTCAAAAAGCATCGGTGAGTAACACTTGACATCCTGCTGCTCATTAAAGGCTATCAACTCAATGCTATAATTGCAAGTCGTGCTACTCCATGTATCTTTCAGTGGAACTCCCTGTTCTCACTACTTAAGCTCACTTTGAACACATGTACCTCATACTGCTTCAGAATATGCAGAATTGAAGTATCTTACTACTTTGAAGCCACAGCACATTTCATGGTAATCCATTATTTCCTTTGAAATACATTTGTTTTTTCTACCAACCTTGAATATTAAAGCTTCAGGGAGTAGTAAATTACCTGAGCAATTATCTTAATTCTGTCCGTCTGGAAGTAGAATATGATGGACTTGAATCAGAGTTTGTGATCATTATTTATTGATAGTGTTTGAATCACATCAGAGAATACCAGTAGAACAGAGCATGGACTTTATAAACAAGGATATGATGAACTCTGAGAGCTGCATGTTAGAAGACTATTTATAAAAAAAGAAGCTGCTGTATCATGAAGGTTAAGTGACCACTCTACCAGATATTCACTGCTTTTATGATGGTTACCAAAAATATTTTTGAAAGGTGGAAATCGACCATAAAAAAAGGATAAACAATAAACAAATAGTGTATACATGAATCACTTCTTTGTGGTACTGAGCTATTACATCATACGTACTAGACATGTGCCCATAAACCAGTTTATTCACAAAAATATATAAAAATAAAACAAAAAGGAGGAAAAAAAACAAGACGTGCTTTACGTGGACATTCTATACAGTGTGTTGTACAAAATAAAGGCCGACTTATCTTATCCCAATTATCTTATCTGACTTTTACCAAAGATAGAAAAAGAGACAAGTTAATGCATTCATGATGGTGGTTTAAGGATTATAATGGTTCTGTCCCCTTATGCCTGAAAAAAGCTATATCAGGATCAGGCGATTTTGAAAATATTTGGCAGTGTTTTGAAGTGTGAACTCCATTAGCTGATTTCATTTGGACAGTACCAGAAGGACTTTGCTATAGAGGCAGGTAAGAGCCGGTGTCTGTCACGAGTAGAGTCAACACATGCAGGAACATTTTGGGATGTTTGACTTCAGAGGAATAAAGCTAATCCAGCACCTTGAAATAAAAGAGGCAGAAAAACGTTTTACCATGTTCATGGTGTTTAAAGTGTATTTACATTCATTTGTAGAATTTGGAGAACGCTTCATCATATGCTTCAATTGTGAATTTGTTAGTCAACGTTGTAATCATTTTACTTTAGAATGAGGTGGAACTAGAAGTGTTTCAGGAACGTTTTGGTATCAGGATAATATAATTTAAGTAGGACACAATGCTCATTTTCAGGTTCATAGTAGTATGTAGTGTCTCTACTGTGACGTGTCTCCGTGCTTTCATGTTCAAAAAGCTCTTTATTTGTATCACACTGCCTGTGCTGCAGCACCTCTTTTCACCCTCTGTCTGAAACCAGAGCCCACTCTGCTCTGATCAACGGCTTAGAGATGTCCTGTCCCTTAGCCTACCACATACAATGTTTTTGGAGCACTAGCCACTAGAACAACGAGGGTGACATAGTGCACAAAAACCTATATAACACACTACAGGAAAGGGACAACCACAATAGGGGTGCAACAACTAATCGATTAATATCGATGACCAAATTAGTTGCCAACTAATTCATTTGTCGATTCGTTGGTGACGTCATCACGTGTGTTTTACGCGCCGTTAAGCTCCAACGTTATCGGTCTTTTTATCGGTACTGGAGACATTTAAACAATATATGTCATATGTATTATTGCTAAACATTATATCGCAGTCTTAGTGTCTCCAACTTGTTTCTAATATGCAAAAAGACAAGAAATGCGTCTATGGTGTATTTTCGAACTTTCCAATCCAGACGAGATCTCTCTCCCCCGTCTGTGTGCGAGGGGGCGGGGCAGTTTACACACACGCAGCTGCTACATGCAGCAACACACACACGGCGGGGATGTGCACCACATTCAGACGGAGAAATGCACCGGGTTCGACTGTCTTTCTAGTAGCTCTGTAGCCCCATCCACGATTAACGTTTCCACGTCAGCAACACACGGAGTTAACAAAATTATACAAGCATGGGTTAATGATTAGAGGTAACTGAGTTATTTATTTTGTTAAAGTTTCAGCTATTCTGTTTACAATTCTGTCATCAGATTATTTAATACGATTTGTTAAAACATTGTTGTTTCTTTTGATGTGAAATATTATTATCAAATGAGTCGTTTGTTGCAGCCCTAAACCACAACAAATTCAATAGGGCCCATTTAAAACGAGATTTTAATCCTAGCATTGAAATATTTTTTTTTCTGTCCTTTCTTGGGAATGAAATCTCATGGGCAGGCATTTTCAAAGTCACTGCGTGCGTCATACAAAGGCCGGAATTGTTCAACTCAATACTTAGAAAAAGTTTCCCTGGAAAGCGCAGACCCAGTTCTCCAGTTGTTGTTTAATGAAAGTCAAACGCATAGTCTCATGGTTCTGAGTGTTAAAGGGTTATCAGCACAAAGATCAAACATTTGCAAAATGCACTCTTGCATCATTGCCTTCATGTCGACACAGGATGTTTGCGTTCATGACCTTCTTCCTGCCGTGTGGTGCAGTTTGCTGTGTTTATGTCTGAGACGTCTGAAATGATGCTATACCTGCAGAGTATTATGTGCCAGAATGGGATAGATGATTATTCTGTAACTGTCTCTCGAAGCCTGTTAGAGCTGTGTGTGCTGGTGTGTGTCAGAAAGCAGTTCTCTTTGTGTAATTGTGTTTGTGAAAGTGTGTGACAGACAGACGTTGTGACGTTGATCGGACCATGTTTCGTTTTTCAGCACTTAAGCCGGAGGTTCCAAGTGTGGACAAGAAGCCTCATCCCATCAGGCCAGAGGACAGAGGTAGGATCCTCCGCCTTTACTCACACTCATCCTCACCCTACATATCACACGTTAGCATCTCATGTTCTCTTTTTGACATCTTTCCCACTTTGGAGCACTCTTTTCCTGACGCACTGCAGTGTCACCACTAACTCCTCTATCGACCTGTGGAGGCGGTACACAGAGACCATTTTCCATCTCGTCTCCATTTTGTCTTTGGGAGTGTTTGTTTGAACTTGATGCTCTGCACTAAATTAAGAGCACTGTTGTTCGCAGAAACAGATGTTCTTTTCCATGAGAATAAACAAAATAATGAGTTTAAATGCTTCAATAAAAATGGTCTTATCCTAGGTTGTAGCTAACGGGTTATGGTTAGAGAGAATGTAAGCCAGTTTGTTATTTAATATTAACCCTAACTGATGCAGTTAGTCACTACTTTAATGTTTGTTCTTTCTGATGTAAAGTCAAGGTTGTAACTGTTTGCAGTGAAGTCGTGGGGCGCTGAACTGTTCCTTTGAATCTTTTCAATTTTAATACATGATATAATTACTTGTCTTTCAAATTTGAAGGAGGGTGAGCAAGCATCTTGAGGAACATTCATCATTAACTCCTCCAAAAAATATAGTTTATTCAATAATGAATATGTGAATCATAACAGTGATTGACAGCTGATAGGAATAATATGATTGTTAATAGTATCATATTCATTCAGACAAACATCGATGAGACAGTTAATGAATGTACTTACTGCAGCAGTCTGCATAGATTTGGTACCCCTGCTGGTCTAAGAGTGAGACAAACTCATTCAGTTCAGTGTTTCCCCTAGGATGGAGTCATAGCAGCGGTGCTAAGGCACGTGGGCCCAGCATAGTGAAATGTTTTAGTGTGTGCGCGTGCGAAGTGCGCCCTGCCAATTTGTTTCTATGTGTCTGCCAGCACAAGAAAGGCTCTTGAGGCCTAGTACCAGGGCCGGTTCTAGCCAATTTGCTGCCCTAGGCGAGATTTTATATATAAAGAATAAATGAAAAATCTTTGCAAAAGACAAATACACTACAAAAACAGAAACTTATTGACATAGGTCATATACGCCAAAATGGCCCCTAGCAGCGGCCGCTATTTGTATATAGGGGAAACACTGCAGTTATTGTTCAGTTAAAATGCATTACATTATGTCTGCCACCTTATATATTTCTATTTAAGGCTTTACCGATGTGCCACAATAATGTCACCTATGTTATTGAGTTAAAATATTAATAGTGTGGCTTTCCAAGTTAAAGGTGGGGTAGGTAATTTTGGAGGAACCAGCTCGAGTGCGCTAGAATTTGAAAATACACAGCCGGAAAAAATCTGCCACTTCCTTCCAGAGCTCCTCCTCCAACACACACGAACACACACATGACCAATGAGGGCACGAGATAAGTTTGTGCACAGATGGAAGGCTGACAGGCAGGTAGGCCATCCAGTTACTTTAGCCGGGCAGGCTAAAATGATTGGTCGTGCTTTTTACAGTACCACGGCTTCCACAGATGACATTTTTTTATGGATTTTTTGTCAAAGCACTTCAGATATTCATTGCTATCGGGATGTTAAGAGCATTCCATGGAATATAACAAAAAGTGTATCTCGAGCCGGTTTCTCAAACTTACCTACCCCACCTTTAACATTGATTGATATGACTGCGATTAAATCAGCATATTCTGCCAGGGGATGCCACCCCTCAAAATCTCCTGCCACCCTCTTGCCACCCCATGAATATTTGTCTAGATCCGCCCCTGCCTTCATCCCTCTGGCTTTTTATTCTCAGTGCCAGCTAAGCATATTAGCCTCAATTTCATTAAATGTCATTTCCAACTTGCAGGCTAGGCGATGTCAGTTAGCATAAGTCATTCATCTCAGCCACATGTATTAAACATGCTAAACCTCCCTTTCAGATGCAAATTAGATTGAGAGTATAGAGAATAGAAATCACACATAAAACTGATCCGACAATCATTAACTACGAGCTACATCAAGATCAATTTTCCTCTTTCATGGCTGAACAGATGTGTCCCGGACTTCTTAAGACTCCAAAAATAGAATCAGTTGGAGCAGCGGTTTTCAAAGTGTGAGGCACGCCTCCCCTGGGGGGCGCCAGAGAGCTTCAGGGGAGGGGCAGCATGAGAAAAAAAAGGACGAGAAAAAGATGAATAAAGTGACACTTGCCCACTTTTGGCTGTCTGTGGAGACCGGGTTCCCCCACCTCGCCAAAAAGGCTGTAAAAGTGCTCATTCCCTTCACCTCCACCTACCTGTGTGAGTGCGGGTTTTCCGCATTGACTTGGATCAAAAGCAAGTGCCGGTCAAGGCTGCAGCCGGAGGATAATCTGCGTTTATTCCTGTGTGCATCAAAGACGCAGACTCATTGTTCCCACTAAAGTAGGGGTGAGTGTAATAAGGAGGCAAAGTTGACGTTCAGTGTGTTGCCGGGAGCATATAAGGACGTATCCACGATGTTAAAAATGTTAAAATATGGAAATATGTGTTGAGAACACGGCGTGCGAAAAATATACGGGTCGTGCTGCAGCTAGATGTGCCTGTCCTCTGTAAGAAGGTGTCGGCGACTGACATGCGAGGAAGAACAGCTGTCCACAGGCTGTTCCAACTTTACCAACTTTATTAACTTCCAGGGTAGTGAATTGAACATGCAATTGTAATTGGGTGTGTGGTATATTTTCATGCACGCACATGCACGTTCCACAACACACAAACTGAACAACACTCAATTGTCCGATCTCTACCAGTGTCCTTGAGATCTTGTTATAACAACAAGTGCACTTTACTGATGCAATATGGTTGAGACCATTCGGGCTTGTTCTAGAGGGGTGCAAGGAATAGTTCAAGTAGTGGGGGAGTTTTATACAATATGTTTAAAATATAAAGATAAAAAGGTTTAAAAAAGTGATTGTTTAATGTTTTAAGGAGGTGACGCTACTCAGCCATTCAAATTGGTGCAGTCAGTGAGACTGCACGAGACAAGAGGAGAGAAACAGTCAGTCATTTCAAATGGCGGAAGGTAGACAGCGAAAACAGAGCATTTCATGACATTTTCTCTTACTGGACCTCTTTGAAATGCAATTGAATGCCCCTGCATTATAGCAACAACAACCATAATAATAATGATAATAATAATAGCAATAATAATTGGGAGGGGGGGACAGCACGGCGTGCATCAATAAATTAGACATTTATTAAAAAGAAAATCTATGAGATAATTACTTTGTAAAGAGCATGGAGGCTGTGTTCAGCCGCAGACTCGTTTTATCAGCAGATAAGCTTGTTGAACATTAATTTGCCCTGGTTGTTTCAGTGTTGCTCAAAAATAAATTGACAGTGTACCTCAGTTGCTGTGTGTAATTCTAGATGATTGCAGGAATGTTCTCTTTGAAACTGTCCACAATAAAGCCATTTCTCCTCTTTACTCTCAGTTATATGTAAGCTTGGTCCATCTTTCTTTTTAAAAATCTCCTCACTGTTTTCCTCTGTTTCAGTTGATAAGCCTACACTAGAACACAAGCCATCCAAGCCCGCAGCGCCAGTGGTCCCGCCCAAAAAGCCGGTCCCCCCTCCTGGGAAAGGCAGGCCGGGGAGCCTCCCACCAAAGAGGCCCGACAAGCCTGTCGCTCCATCGCCAAAGTAAGTCTAATATTCATCTCCTAGTCCAGCTTCTGTTCATCCATCCTGCCGTGCGCCTTTCTGATTATCACTGAACCCTTTTCCCTAGTGTCTTTCCCCCCACACATCACTCCTGTCTCTTGTATTTTATGATTACTCATCCACTTAAACATGAAGGTTTTACCTAGAAATGTTCTGTTGAAAGACCTGGAAATTAGACAGCACTGACCTTTTTGATTCCTCTGTATACAGTAATGTTTTTTCATAATTGTTTTATTTGTACCTCTTGTCTCTAGGCACAATGGAGAGGTGCCTTCCACACGACCAAAATCAGAGTCTGAGCCATCGTTGCCCACCAAACCCAAAACCCTGTCTGGGGACTGGGGGGAGAAGTCCTCGGATTTGGGTATGTACGATGTGCGCTTACAGATTATCCAAGCCCACATTACTGGGGTGATTTGTTTTACTTGATATTAGGTCAATTCATGATTTTTAACTACAGAAGGTGAGCTGAAAAAGAATGCTTCACAAATATTAAATCATGTGTGTGACTTCCATTAAAACCCACATTGATTTTTGGGGTGACAGTAGCTCAGTCTGTAGGGACATGGCTTGTGAACCAGAGGGTGGGCTGGTACTTGGAGCAAGGCAGTGCCCATGAGCAAGGCACCACGGCAGTACACAGGAAGATAACTGGGACCTTTAGCAACGTAAAATGCGACGACAGTCTATCGATGGGGAGCAACAGATCGCAGATTTTCTGGCTAGCAAGTAGCAACTCCATGCAGCACTACTGAGCATGTTAGCTTAGCTTGTTAGCCTTAGCTAGCTGGGGAGCTTTGAGCTCGTGTTCCAGAAGCTCCGCCTTTTGCCCTTTTTTGGATAAGGAGGGGGCAGGTGGGCGTAAGATGCCGACGTCACGGCCAACACGGCACCGACCGGCTCCGCCCACTTTGGGCTTCTCAGCAACTCACAACGTCCATTTATATATACAGTCTATGCCCCTACTACAGTGTTTCTCAAAGTGGGGGGCGCAGAGGCATGACCGGGCGAGAGAACAGGAGGAAAAATGGTTATGAAAAACAAAAAAACATAATTTGGAAAATTATTGATTCGAAAATAATATGATACAGTACAAGTACGTCTAGGTCTCTGTTTCATTCACGCTTGTGTGTGTGTGTGTGTGTGTGTGTTGTGTGTGTGTGTGTGTGTGTGTGTGTGTGTGTGTGTGTGTGTGTGTGTGTGTGTGTGTGTGTGTGTGTGTGTGTGTGTGTGTGTGTGTGTGTGTGTGTGTGTGTGTGTGTGTGTGTGTGTGTGTGTGGTGTGTGTGTGTGTGTGTGTGTGTGTGTGTGTGTGTGTGTGTGTGTGTGTGTGTGTGTGTGTGTGTGTGTGTGTGTCGGAGATCGTTGTTGTTAGCTTCTGGTGCTAGCGAGCTACGCTAACGGATATAAGGAGCTTTTTCAACAACAAGGTGGAGGAGAGTCCTCTCCTGTCAGACTGAGAGACTCAGTGAGCTAAAGGACTCTCTCAGTGTTTAGATAGTTCACTTTAGTCTTAAGTTATCTCAGTGGGTCTCAAACGGTTTGGTCACGATTTAATGTAAACAATTATTTCCGAGGCACACCTTTATATGATCATTATATACAAAAATAAGAGAATAAATGAAAGACAGGTATGAAATACTATGACGGTAAATAAAAGGGAGTGATTTGTAAAATATCCATAAAGAAAAAGTAAATATGTTTACAGTTCTGTTTCATATGGGTGTTGAGAGAGGTATCCATAGAGCTCTTAATTTTGCTCTCAAAGTACACGAGATTGATGCTTTTAACTTCAATATTTAAAAAACAAATCTTCCCGGGGAGCTTGCCCCCGGACCCCCCAAGAGGATGTTAGGTCCACACACCACCTATAAAAAATAGCACTTGACCCCTGCTTACACCTATATGCCGTGAGCTGATATCGAGCCTTCATTGTAACAGTCGCGGGCACACTGTATTTTCGTGTGGAGAATTCCACTGTAGCGACCGGTACATTAATGGGAAACCCTAAATGTTTGAGCACCCTCTATGAAACGTCAAGCTACCCCACAGCACCCCCAAAATAAATCTCTGGCGCCGCCACTGAGCCTGCAGCCCCGCTTTGAAGAAATGTGCAGTGCAACACAGGCTCATTGCAGCCACTAATGCTGTGATAAGACGCACTTTTCTGCCAAATATCAGCATTTTCTTTCTTTTCATTTTTTTTGCACAGATTGCAAAGTATTTTAACTTATTGTTCTAGCAAAGGGATTGCACCATTGTATTATGTTTTTTTTTTTTGAGCACACAGACTCATGGAGCATTGTTTTATTATCACTGTTCACAAGTGATTTTTATTTTTTTTTTTAAAGGAATGCTCACATTCATATTGATGTATTTTAATAAATGTTAACTTGGCCCATTACGTGACTATTTGTGTTGGGGGGCCCGACTTTTTTTTCTCCAAAGAGGGGGCCTGACATAAAAAGTTTGTGAACCACTGCCCTAGTACTAGAATGGGATAAATGCAGAGGTCGACTTTTACAGTGTGTGCTGTATGTACAATATCCATCTGTTGCATGCATCCATCTGTTCTCATGATGCATCTATCTACTACTCATGTTGTAGAAAGCAACTGAATAATTGTTAATTGTCTTATTCAGAGTTTTACACTGATGGAGACAGAACGTTATTAGTGAAACAGCATTGGTAACAACAACCCCACAACACACCACCCGTATCTGAAGAAACATGGCTTGGTTTCAAAACCAAATTCTCAACAGTACTAAACGACATGGCCCCCCCCCTAAGAACCACCAGGGTAAAAAATCGTGCTGAGCCGTGGATACACTCCAAAATATTGACCGCTATGAAAACCAGAGACAAAAAATGCTCTGAGTTTCGTAAAAGTCAGTCAAAGCTTACCAAAAGCTCGAGCAGTGAACTCCAAGCCCACATGACTAAACTCAAACTGCAAAGAAACAGACTAAGAAATGACGTAAACTCCATGATCAAAACTGCAAAAAAGAATTTCATCAATAACAAAACTGAAGAAAACAAAAATAAACCCCGTGAACTTTGGAAATTACTCAATAATCAACTAGGCTGCAGCAAAAAACTTAAAACCAGATTTTCAAACATAAACATAAAGACAGATAACAGGCTCATCACAGACAAGCTGGATGTGGCCAATTACTTAAACATTTTCTTCACAAACATAGCCACAACACTGGTAAATAAATTACCCTCCCACTCAGGGCATTTTGGGGTAGAACACATCCTAGCCTACTACAATAACCTAGTGGTCCGCAAAGATGATTTCAAACTAGTAATGCTAACAACAGCTGAGGTACATACAAAACTGAGCGCCCTCCAACCTAACAAGGCCACTGGCCACGACAATATCCCCTCCAAATTCCTCAGAGACTCAGCAGCCGCCATCTCACCAGTCATCACACACATAATAAACCTCTCCATAAAACAGGGACACGTACCCAAAGACTTCAAAATTGCGAGAGTAACCCCCCTGCACAAAAAGGGCAGCAAATTGGACCCAGGCAACTACCGCCCTGTTTCTATTCTTACCTCCATCTCGAAAATCATGGAAAAAATAGTATATGAACAGGTCGAAAAGTACCTCGCGGATAAAAATCTAATTTACGAATTCCAATCTGGCTTCAGAACATCCCACTCCTTGAACATCCCACATGCCTTCTCTATTTGAGCGACCACATCAAACAAGAGGTGGACGAGGGCAAGTACTGCGGCATGGTGATGCTGGACCTACAAAAGGCTTTCGACACTGTCAATCACTCCATTCTAATTGACAAGCTAAAAGCAATTGGTTTTGATTAGGGGTGCACCGAATGGGAAATTCTTGGCCGAAACCGATACCGAAAATAGGAAACAGTTGGCCGAAAACCGAATGCCGAAAGGCCGAAAATGATTAATAGAAATATATATATATATATATAATGTATACATTTTTTACCAATGTTGTTCAGCTACCTGATTATGGAAATAGACATGATTATGGCAAAACTTAACTTAAATAATAATCACTATTATGGGTCCATAAAACATTTATTCAGCACTTTTGAATGCATACAGTACATTTATATATGTCATGTATTATTGCTAAAAAAACATTATATCGCAGTCTTAGTGTCGCCAACTCGTTTCTAATATGCAAAGACAACAAATGCGTCTATGATGTATTTTCGATCAGACGAGATCTCTCCCCCGTCTGTGTGCGAGGGGGCGGGGCAGTTTACACACACGCAGCTGCTACATGCAGCGGAGCGCACTGCGGAGATGGCGGAGAGAACGCGCTCCGAGGTGTGGTTAAACTTTACCCGTCTCGATGTGGAGAATACTTGTTACCATAAGTGCAATAAGAGTTTAGCATGTAAGCACGAGCAATTTGTCTAAACATTTAGCAAAAGTGCACCGCATGCAGACGGAGGAATGTACCGGGTTCGACCGTCTTTCTAGCAGCTCTGTAGCCCCATCCACGAGTAACGTTTCCACGTCAGGTGTTATGTAGGCTATGCTAGCAGCAACACACGGAGTTAACTACATTATACAAACATGGGTTAATGATTAGAGGAAACTGAGTTATTTAGTTTGTTAAAATTTCAGCTATTCTGTTTACAGTCTGTCATCAGATTATTTAATACGATTTGTTAAAGGCTCAGGGCAATCTCGATGACAAAGGTCAATGTCCCCCCCCCCCTGTGAGCCAGCCGCGAGCATGGTCGCCGCGTCTTTATTACGTCATCACAACAACACGTTAGGTTACCAACGTAAGCCTGTTCTGACATTCGGTGATATTTTTTCGGTGCTAAAACCCTTTCGGCCGAAAGGGCCTTTTTAACCATTTTCGGCCGATAATTTTCGGTGGCCGAATATTCGGTGCATCCCTAGTTTTGATAAACTATCGGTGAGCTGGATGCAATCCTACCTGGAGGGGAGAGAACAGATGGTGGAGGTAAACGGTACTCTGTCCCCCCCCTCCCAGTGAGCTGTGGTGTTCCACAAGGAAGCATACTAGGACCGTTACTGTTCCTAATTTATGCAAATGACATGTCATCAGCTTGTGACTGCAACTTGTTCCTGTTCGCGGACGACTCAGCCCTGCTGGTCTCTGACAGGAACGGGTTGCAGGTTGAAAAAACCCTCAGCTCGGAACTCGGCAGAATCTGCACCTGGCTCGCCGATAATAAATTATCATTACACCTGGGTAAAACAGAGTCCATTCTCTTCGGTTCAAAAAACAAACTCAGCAAGACCGACGGCTTCTCAGTTGCAGTGGGCGACATTATTGTCACAAGGAAAGATGAAATTACATACCTAGGTTCCATACTAGAGGCAAATCTCTCCTGTGACAAAATGGCATCCAATGTAATAAAAAAAGTCAACCAACGAACTAGATTCTTGTACCGGATCTCCTCTCTGGTAAACAAGAATACCCTGAAGACTCTGGCAGGAGCACTCATTCAAGGGTACTATGACTATGCTTGCACGTCATGGTACCAAAGCACCTCAAAGGCGCTAAAAACAAAATGACAAACATCACAAAATAAACTGGTCAGACTACTGCTTGACCTTACTACTAGAACCCACCTCACCTCTGCCCACTTTGACAACCTAGGATGGCTTAGAGTAGACGACTGAGTACAGCAACTTGCAATGGGGCTGGTCTACAAGATACACTACACCACTAAGGTACCCATGTACATGTCAACATACTTCCCAAAGGTCAGTGAATACCACAACCACAACACCAGAGGGAGCTCCACAAATCATGTTAAACCCAGATTTGGCTCAAACAAGGGACGAAACACGTTTCTCAATTATGCCACAACAATGTGGAACGCCCTACCCACAGCTGTAAAGGAATGTGAATCACTACCCACCTTCAAAACCTCTCTAAAAAAGCACCTACGGGAGACTGCAATTCGAAACTGGCCCCTGTAAATGTCCAAACCCAACCCCCTACATACAATATACAGTTTCCCACCCCCCCTCAATGTATATACTCTTTTTTTAGACTCTTTTTATACTCAAACAGTACTGTATATTTGTAGATCTGGTATGTCATACATGTCTAGATGTAACAGTACTGTCTATCTGTATGTCATGTATGTCATATATGTTATGATGAATTAAATGGGGGACCCTGATGTAAACAAGACGAAAGTCTTTTTCTGGTCTGCATCCCCTTAACAATTGTGTGTTTTGAGCTGTACTGTATTGTAACCATTCTGCAACCTGTTAATAAAATGTTCAATCAATATGCACACCAATATGAAACCATGTTTCTGATTAAATGGTAAAAGACAAGCAGAGCTTTAATTGGCAGAATGTACAATAATTGAAGCAGAGCTCGGAGCGAAAGAGGTATGAGGGGATTGTGAAGAGGAGCAGCAGCAGACATAATTGAAAAGATAAACAGTTTAGAGGCTGCAGTTTTGCGAGAGGGTGGGGGGAGAGAAGTGTTTATTGACAACCGAGGAAGAAGAAGGTGCAGAGAATCTTCAACGGATTTAATGGAGTTTTCTTAATGTTTTTCACCTGAGAGTTCTTTCTTAGGTGACAAAGCGCTGCGAAAAGCCCACAGCGCTCACCAGAGGACAGTCTGACACCCTTTGTGAAACATGAAAAATCAATCTATCCTGCAATCACATGCAATGCTTTCTCCCAGCAGCACTTTACCACTGTGTACTGCAAAGTGCTGTTGCTAAAAGGTTTCAGTGCTGTATAATACATTTGGGAGTGATTGATTCTTCCCTCTGTTTAACTTTGTTGTATGCACTAGGACTGTTTTCGACTTAAGATTTTTCTAGGATACCAGTAGTCATCAATTCAGGAAGTTAGGCACCTACACTGTAGCTGTGTATATAACAAATAAAGCCTTTGAACTTTTCATTATTCTTAATGCGTGTCGGAACAAGCAGCGAGGACACACGATGTACATTTGAATTCATTATTCATTTATTCTCTCAACATAGTATACAATAAATATGGCAAACAAATAGATGATACACATCAAACGGAATCCCTCATCATTTAAAGAGAACTTTCATTTCTCAATTATTATTTTTTCTATATGAGGCATTGCTGTTTCTATATTAGTGATAACACATCTTTATGTACTCTGTTGTCCTCAATTTCTCTCGTTTACAAACATTCTGTTTATTTAATTATTTAGTTCCAGTTGTTTGCACTTTGCCTCATCCATGGTAAAAAATAAAAATAGTTGCAGGGTAATGAAAGAAAGGCATGTAAAAGTGATGAAATGCTCCTTCCTCATGTCTCCGTGTGGTCTGCCTCTTCTCACAGATCTGATGAGTTTTGATGAGCTGTCGTCTAACTCGGAGAAGCTCTCTCACCCCACCGCTAGCAGACCAAAGATGCCTGGCAGACGGCTGCCCGCACAGTTTGGTGGAGGAAACTCGGTGAGAGAACACACAGATAAACACAGTGATGATGATAAGCAACATGTGGAGAACTGTTGTGGTCCTGCAGATGCATTTTCAGTGTCATATACACAATGTCATGTCATATTGCTGTTACAGACTGATAGTCAGGTGTTGGAAAAATGTCAACACAATGTATTCATCTTATGGTTATTTAATATTAAATTGGGACTACATATCATCTTATATTTTAAATATTGGAATATCGTTAATGTTGTTGTTACCTTTAATCGTATTGCTGCATATTTTCAAATAATAATCTTCATCGTTTTGCATACTCATTCAAAGTAGTCTTTGATTAGGCTGCATTTCACATTATGATACAATAAATAATTCCTACTGGTCCAGAACTCTGCTGCCAGCATCATCACCAGAACCCCCTCCATTAACCACTCCCTCCTGTTCTTCAGCAGCTTCACTGGCTGCTTGTCGAATACCGTATCCATTTTAAGATTCTACTCCTCGCCTTAAAGTCTATCCACCACCTCAGTCCTCTGTACCTCTCCGACCTCCTGCACATCAACACACCCACCCGCACTCTCAGGTCTTCTGCTTCCCTCCACATCACTGCACCACCCTTCCGCTTAACCACCATGGGGTCCAGAGCCTTCAGCCACTCTGCACCCCCCCCCTCTGGAACTCCCTCCCACCTGACCTCCAGAATATTGACTCTCTCTCCATTTTCAAATCACGTCTCAAAACATATCCCTTCACACTGGCATATCCACCCTGATCACATCACACATCCTCTGTTCTCATTGGTTATATTGTCTTGTTTTTCTGCTAGTGTTTTGTTTTGATTTGAGTTTTGTGTTTTTGTATATTATACGGCGAACTTGAGAGTGCCTATACAAAATAATAAATCAAATGCATTATTTCATATTTTACGCTTATGCTTATAATCCTTTTTTTTTAGATTGCAGCGTCCATTTGTAAAAAGGTTTAGGCTTCATATTGTTCCTTTTTTATATCTGATCCCTTTTTTTTCTCTTCTGAAATAGTTTTTCCTCCCCATGGATTTCGTTTTACATTGAGGTCCCTCAGCTCTCTGTAACCTGTCACATCCCTTCACCTCACACTCACTCTCATTCCACGTCCTCACACAGCAGTGTTCATGTTGGCAGCTATTTTTGATTTAGTCTTAGTCTTTAGACGAAAATGGTTAGTAATAAATAAATTAGTTTTAGTCACATTTTAGTCATTCCTATCCTTCGTAGTTTTAGTCGACGAAAACTCAAAACGTTTTAGGCAACTTTTAGTCGATGAAAAATTACATTTTAGTCAAATTCTAGCCAAATAGTGTTTTCTCTCTTTAAGCCAATTCAGTTAGGCAAATACAGGTTTCTGACATTGGAATCAAGGTGACAGTATCAAGTGTTGAAATTCGTAAAGCAACATTTCACTCTCTTAACACTTTACTTGTGTAATATCTAGGGATGGGTATCGTTAAGGTTTTCTACGGTACTACTAGTCTTATCGATACTGCTTATCGATTCGGTACTTTAACGGTATTCTTGTATTTACTTTTTGTTCTTTTTTAAAGGGAAAAACTAAACAAATTGTTAACCGAATTAATTGCTTTATTTAAATATGAAAAAAATAAAATATATATAATTATGTTATTATATTGTACTGTACTTGAGTAAAATGTTGAGGTACTTCTACTTTACTGGAGTATTTACTCCAGTACAGTTCAGAGTTAATTGTCTACTTTTCCTGGCCTACGTTTATTTAACACCTTTAGTTACTTTACAGATGTGGATTAATGATGTGAAATCTAATCAAGTGTTGAATCAGACTTTAGTTCCACCTGGAGTAAATCCACCAGCTACCCTGCAGTATACAAAGTCATTCAAACTAGCTGCACCTTTACCAGCTTTGAGAACACTTTCATGATCAATCATTATAAAACATATCATATATAGTATTCTGAAATGGACCAATCTGCACAATGACTACTTTTACTGTCGCTACTCTAACTATATTTTGATGATCATACTTTTCTGCTTTTACTTGAGGAACATTTTGAATGCAGGACTTTTACTGTAACGGAGTATTCCTACACTCTGGTATTTTCTTACTTAAGATCTGAGTACTTCTCCCACCTCAGCGCACCTGATGTGATAACGTTACTCGTAATTGGGGCAACAGAGCTACGAGTTAAGGAAGTCGAAAATTGTGCATTTCTCCGACTGAATATGACGCCTTTGTGGCGAGCTTTGTCCACATCGAGCCTTGTAGAGTGTCTCTATAGTCTCTGAACGCTCCGTCCCCGGCAGATCTCTGTGTCCGCTGCAGCGTGTCTGTTAGGCCCCGCCCCCCGCACACAGAGCAGGGAGATCGCTCTTCTGGAGTGAAGAGAGCGGAAATAAGGATATTGCAAGTTAGAAACGTAAGATGCATTTTGACAGACAAGACGGACAATTGGGGGAAAATACCCTGCATTTTGAATGTCCGATAGTCCACCATTAATACCTTAGTCCCGTCTCGTCAACGAAAACTAAATATACATTTCGTCCTAGTTTTTGTTATCAAGAATCTATTTTTAGCTCGTCATCGTCTCGTCTTAGTCATGTAAAAAAGGTCGTTGATGAACATTTTTCTTCATAGTTTTCGTTGACGAAATGAACACTGTCACACAGGAGTCCCATCGCCTGCCCTCCTCTCCTCAGAGCAGGCATCACTCAGCTGCACTCCTTCAAACGACTGTCACTGGGAATAGGCATTTCCCCTAAGAACATTATCACTTTTATGAGTCAGGTTACCCTGCCACCAAGCTGTAAACAAAAAGAAAAATATGAAATCTTTAATCATGTAAATCTTTTTCCTTTGCAGCCCACCAAGGAATTGAGCGTGGAGAAGTTATTCAAGGTTGATGAAGAAGATGCTGCCAAACCAAAGCTAACAGACACCAGAAAGGTAACTTATAGCACTGTTATTCACCAATGAAATGACAGATGACAAAGACTCCAAAAGGCATCATATGGGTGCAGATGTTTCTCAGTATTGTCCCTCTTGGTTGGAGCACTTACCCTCCAGAAGAGAACATCTTATCCCATCCAGAATCAAACACTGATCACTTATTTTCAACATCATGATAAACCGAACAACAATTTTTAAATCGTTCAAGTAATGAGTGGTGCAGAAAGCGGCCACAGACAAGGGTTTCAATGTCATTTGGGAATTGTGCACCCCAAAGTAATCCCACTAAAAGTGTTAGTTTGTGCCGCTGAGGGGCTCAGACTGTTATCATGCTTATGTGTCTGACATTATTATCTAAAGGACCCTACGTTTTCTGTTTGGTTTGACACAAGAACTAACAGATCGGGGAAAGAAAAACTTGAAGACAAATGTTATATCTCTCTGAAGGTCTTTTACAGACACTTTTACTATCAATCTAACTGTCACTGGCAAAAATAAACACTTTTAGTAGATGTTAATGGATGTATATAGAGAACTGGATACAGCGTTGGAGGGTGGGCCCTGATCATTCTTATGAAAGTTTCTCAGTGGCGCATGAAACTAAAACGACCTGACTATAAGTACCTAGATCCATAGAGCACGCCCACCTGAGTTTAGCCTCCTGTCCCATTTGTCACAGTTGGTCGTGGTTCAGTGAAATGATTGGAGAAGAAAAATAACTCTGGATTAGCATCTGAACATTTGTGCCAGTCAACATATCCAAAAGATTTCAATGTCTGGAACTGGAAAAATTACTTTCAAATGTTATCTGACACTATTTATTTATACTTGAAAATAATGTGTATTTATATTTAAGAATGACATCATCAAGGCAGGTAGATTTTTGAAAATAATTTCAGTTCGGTTTCTGTCAATAGACAAGCAAAGATATAAATAAATAAGTGCATACAGCAAGATAAGTGCATACAGCAAAGGTATAAATAAATCTTACACAAACTACTTCTTAAGATGAACAATTTCCTAAGTTTAAGGCTTTCATATTCTCGTATACAATAAAACAGAATACATAAAGCCTGTCTGGTTCTTAACATTTAAATGAATGCGTCTGGTGCCGGCTCAATCAAGGGCTGTTTTAATTCAGATCTGCAGAGAATCCTCAGTCCGTAAGAGGGACGGGTTCTGAATAGTTTATTCAGCCCTATTCTTAATACAATACAAATTGTGCTTAGAGGAAATTACTTTTGACCAAACAACATGAGAGGGATTTAAATGTGTCAGACTTCTACAGATTTTTTAGATCAAAGTCAGGGCAATACTGTCTCATGGATTCTGGATTCAGCTCTAATGATTCAAATTAGAGATTGTCAAGTGTTTATCTGTTCCTGGCAATATATGTACGTCTATTGAAGCTATATCAACTTGTTTCTATAGTCCAATCTTGTGCAAGTACAACATGGCCACATTTACTGTGTGCCTCCTGTGCTCATATCCCTACACTACAGTGATGTTAAATCCCTGTCTGACCTGCATGTTCCGGTCAAACAGGATTTAATTGTGGGCCTCACCATTAACCTTGTGACGCAAAGGCTTTCCGGTTGGGATGCAAGTATCTAAACCCAGATGAACCGTGTACAGTGTGTGCTCTCTTGTTATCATGCACAAGTCGAAAGTAGCCATTCCTAACGCAATATATAGGTGACTAGTACCATTGAATTATTTGTTGAAACTGTATATCTGCAGATACTGAGGTAGAATGGTTATATCACAAGATATTTTGCAGCTTGTATGTTGATTATAATTGCTCTACTTCATAACAGCAGTAAAGTCATTCTAAAGATGAAAACATTTAGCAAGGTAAAAGGTCAAGTTGCCAAGCCACTTTATAGAGATGAAATGAGTGGGTTTGATTTCCCAGCAGAACAACTTCTCTAGCTCTTGGTGTTAGGATAATATTGTGCACAGTTACATGAAGTATTGTAGACCAGAGGTGTAATCAAATCTGAGGCTCTCTTCCCCAGGGGGGCTCAAACAGCAACTGGAAGTAAAAAGAAAAATATTGCATTAGTTATCAGATGAATATGGCATAGAATACATGTGTGAGATTTAGTTAGAAGATGATTCCGATTTGTACAAGCTTTGTCTGAGGGGAAGCCGACAGTGTCACACATTGAATACCCCATCTGTGGACAAGAGATTTCAAGTTTAAGAAATAATAGGTTAATGAATATTGTGGTGAGGACCAAAAACATGTAGGTGCTTTGCAGGTGTATGATAGTTAACTGAATATGTTTGGTTTAGACCGCTTATTTTGAGCTTGGGCTTTAAAATATTCTTGCCATTTTCTCACATGTCAAAGACGTAAGAATTAGTTTTTTCATCGAGAATATTGTCATTATAATCCAGGATTCAAGTAAAAGTTAGTTAAAAACAGTAGACTCTCAGAAATAATTGTTACCAAAACATATACATTTGATTTTTGTTTTTGTTTGTTCAACTTACAAGGCTAGTGTATTTACGACATTTACAAAAGTTAGCTTCCGTTACCGGACACTGACCGGAAAAATCTATGGAAGTCAAGAAAATCTAAACCTTTCCAGTTGTATATTTAGTAAAAATATTTACCCTAATGCGCAATTTGAAGCGTATTAAAAAATGACTCGGCTCAAGCCCCTCTTAAGCAACGAGATGCCATCACTGTGATGAAAGAACTTCACAGTGATGGAGGGTTTCATTATTCAATGCTCAGAGAATATTTTCCCTCGGAACAGAATTAAAACACAGATTTGCAGCCACATTTTATCTGAGAATATATGTAGGACTGAAACTGAGGGGAAATAATTGTTTAGTTTTTTAGCTGCTGTCATTCTGTATACATCCTTCCTATGAGCCATTTATAAGCAAACAGATCATATTTGAACAAAATCCCTTCCATTATTATCTTCCTGGACATATTGACCGCCACCAATTTCCTTGCTGACGGAGCACCACCACCTGCTGTTCTTCCCTTCTGCTGCAATAATTGTTCTAGATGTTATCTAGTGTGGATTGGTCATGGTAAGCCGAGACAAATGAGACCTAGCTGTTCAGCCGGGGGAACAGATCATCAGACCATCCTATTATTAAAAACACGTAGAGACAGACAGAGCCGCTCAGACTTACTGTGAAATGACAGGACATGGCCTCTGTCTGTCGTCCTCCTCCTCGAGCCCTCACTCACCGTGGGATCCGCCTGCTGCTGACATGCTACAGCTACAGATGTGTGTCAAGATAAAGGAAAAACCCAAAGTAAAGAAACAACCACAAATGCTTGACTAACGGTATACTGCGTAACTAATTAACTATAGGGTGGGTTATTTCATGTCTGAAAACATCACATGTTGATGTTACTGACAGTTATCATTCCTACTATGGTCCTTAAGAGACCCCCCCCCCTCCTCAGTATAACAGATCAGAGTAAAACTGATAAATGAATCGGGTGCCGTTTTGAAAGCTGACTCTCAAAATGTGTTCCTTCCCTTTGACTTAGCATGATAAGAGAAAAGGATCGTGTAGTGCAAAGACAATCTCAATTAGGATAATCAGATGGCTAAGTTAGGTATAATGATCATTTAAAAATGATCTTATAGCTTCCACTAAGAAACAATCCATTCCACTTCCACTGGCTGGGACTGCGGTAACAGCAACGTGACTTAAAAAGACGGCAGAACTGTCCAAGTCTGTTCACATTCTGTAATTGATCAACCAGTCTTTAAACACTGCAGAGCCCATACTGTGTTCCAGTTAGTGTTCACTTCCTGTCTGACTTCTCCTGCTGATTTCTCTGACATCCAGCGCTCTGTCTTTTAACCTCTTTGCTTCAAGCAAATGTCTGACGTATGGAAACAAATGATTTGCGTCCACGGCTGACGTTAAACTCACCGGACTTCTTTCTGTGGATTGATATGACTGCACGTATTTCCTTGATCCTCCTTAGCAACAGTCTGCTCTCCTAAGAAGAAGACGACTGTTAGCGAGAACTAACTACCTCTTGATTGTCCAATCAAAATCAGGTATTCAACTAAGCTATGAAATAAGTAGTCTTAAAAGCTTTGGGCATTTTTTATTTGCAAAGAACAAGCATTACTTTTTACTTTTCATGGTCCTTTTTATCCAAAGCGACCTGCATACACTTAAAAAACGTAGACATTAAGGGTTAAATATCTTTCCCAAGGACACTTCCACATGTTGACTGCAGGGAACTGATTGAACCACTGATTGCATCCCTTGTTTTCTCTGTACCAACATCATTTCCCCCTTGTTGCCATTAACAAGAGAGTGTGTACTGAGGCATGTGACGCAGCACCCATCATGTGCTGCTCTGGGCACAAGTGTGGGAGTCACACTTAAAACGATTCATAGCCTGATTTGTTCACCATATGAAGCCAGCGGGAGATTTCTGTAATGAAAAGTGCTGACTTATGAAACAACCTTCGCAGGGCTTAGCATTTTGTTATGTCAGTTGAGTTTTTTACATTTCCGAGAAGCATTTCTGTACAACAGGCACACAATGCATGTCATTAAAGCTTTAAAAACATTGTCAGAATGTGCAGCACAGGATAGATCAAACAAACAGGAATGTGCACTGAAACCAATCAATATCCCTTTCATTGTAGTTGCATGTCAAAGGTAATGCTCTTGGAGGGTTCAGTTATGCAAACAATTAAGGCAGTGCTTTTACAGAGATGTTGAAAGTTGAAACATGTCTTTGTTTAGGCACACGCAGATTATGCTTAACATTTGGTCGAAAGGAAAAAAGGCGCATTGCAAGTCAACAATTGTTATCACCTTTTATGTTATGGTGAAACATTGCTCTTGTGGATGCAGGAACACAATGCCTTGCACAAAGCATCACTGAGCAAGTTTGAAAATAATGTTAATCGTAAGGCCCCATTCACCAGATCTGTGACCAGTTTAGGTGATCTCTTTCTGTTCATACCTACAGAACTGTTTTACACATTTAGCAAATCCCTGGCTGCAGTTGAATGGTCAGAAAATCAGGTCTTATGTCTTTTCCTAACCAATTCTCCCCTGTGAAATACATCACAGGGTTTGTGGAAACATTTGAAGGAGAGGTCATCAGGATTTAGGAAAAGACAGACGTGGTGTTAAAGTAATCCGATACACAATATTTCTAATGTGCCAAACTCTCTGCTGTGGGAAATCTACAATTTTCTGTAAATGGACTACTCTCCCTCACCCTCCTGTCCACCCAGAAAATAAGTGAAAAGAGCGCAAGAAAAGGAAAGAGGTTAAAGTACTGAGTGCTGAGCGTCAGAGAAATGAAAAGAAGAAGAAGACAGGAAGTAAACATAAAGGGATCACAGTATGGGCTCTGGCAGTAGTTAACAGAAAGGAAAAGGTGAACAGACTTGGACAGTTACAAAAACCCTCCAACAGTGCTGACGTCATTTTAGGTTACTTTGCTGTGGCTGCAGTTCCAGCTGCTGGCCGTGGAACAGACTATTTTTGTCTGCCATGGCAGAACGATCCTTTTTGAATCATTAGGGTCGTTTTCCTATCAATATTGTGGGTCAAGCCTTTGGTTTATTTCGTATGTAGCTGCTTTATCAGCGGGATAATGTGCAGCGAGGGGAATGCTTGATACACACCGTCACTTATGAAGTGTTTACTTAACAAATCGGATCCTTTGTCACTTTAAATGTTGCGGCCGCAATGTCCTATGGGATGGCAATATCTCCTTCCCGTCCGGAAAGGATGGTCCAGTGTATCCTAAGCTAAAGGAGACATTTTACAAAATAAAATCCTATTCGACAGCTTCCACTTTCTAACTAAGATTTTTCTTCCTAGCCTTCCACGAACACCAGATCCCAGTCACCGCCGCTCCACAAACCCAGCGTGTCCAGCAGCGAGGCCCAGCCCAGCGCCAGCAGCACCTCTCAGGGCAGCAGGGCCCGGCTGGAGCCCGAGGAGCCGGGCTCCCAGCTGGAGGAGCTGAGGAGCCAGATGAAGGAGCTGCTGCTGTCTGTGGAGCTGCTCAAGGCCCAGCAAATGTAATAACACTCAACACATGAATACGCTTCATAAGAATAACGAATGTGTCACGCAACAACCCATGCGTGTAGAAATATGCTTCTTTCTATAATGTAGCTTTACTGGGAAAAAATACTTAATATCCGTTTTGACACATTATGCAATTCTCCACTAACTAATGATTTACAATTCTGTCAATCATGTAAATGCCTTCCCTACAGCAATTCTCCAACCGACATTCCCCCATATCCCACAACACAAGATGTTGTTTACTTAGAACATATACATAATTATATCATAATGTTATGTTTCATTAGAAACAGATTTAGGCTTTTTCAAAGAATGAACATTTGCAGATTAAGCTAATTAGAAAATGTAATGTTGGTCACTGAGGATAAACCATACATTAAGTGAAGGGATTTAGAATGCAATGCTTTATGATAATACTTAACTGACTAACCTTTGGTTGTGCTAGGAAAACTTCAGCTTGCAGTGCTTAAGCTTTATTTATATTTTGTATTGAAACGCGTAGAGCAGGGCAAAGATCATGAGTTTGATATTGTATATATGCTGCATAAGTGCTGACGCTTGTCAATGCCTGCGTTTATTTCCAGGAAAGAGATAGCGGAGCTCCGAGGGGAGCTGGATGAGGAGAAGCTGAAGCGCATGGCTCTGCAGGTAACATTGATCCCCATAGCAACACATGCTGGGCTGTCCACACTCATTAGCCTCATTAGACAGCCAACTATTGATGAAGAGCAGAACACTGACTTGTGTGCACACAATTGACGCAGCCAGAGTTACCATATAAGTGATTCTTTTACAGGCCGTTAATTGCAGCCGTCAAGCTGCAGAGAGATCAGTAATGAGAGGACACAGTATCTAAGCTAGCTGTACTGTGACAAATAGTCAGACCAAGCTGTCGGTAGAGAACAAGAATCTTGTAAATCTTAATAAGAACAATTTATTTTAAATCTAGTTAACTTACAGTTGGTCAAATTAGATCATGTTATAGAATACTATAATGTCTACTTACAAATTTAACACGACAAAGAAAAACCTGAAGACAGCCTATTTCAGTTATTGTTTCAACCATTTTAAAGGGTTTCATAACATATTTAGCTAATTAACTAAATGAATGACTATACAGCTGTGACTATTGTTTACTAAGCAACAATTAATTGCAGCAGTAAAGGCTGAAGAGACCTCCGTAATGAGCACAGCGTAAGGATGGTCAAAAGCTTAGCTCGATGTGCTGTGACATCAGACCCCAGCATTTAAGAGGCTCTGTTAGGTTCTCCCTTTCCTGTAATGTTCTATATGTTTGTGTGCATGTAAATGGTCTGCAAAGGCTGACATCCCTGTGTTCCCTCCAGAGAAGAGTTCCTCTCAGAATTTGTGCTCTTTAAGTCGAGGACTACTTTTCTTAAATCTTGTAAATACGTAAAGCTTTTCCTCTCACATCTCTTTGGTATCACCTTTGTAGATACCTTGTGAGCATAACGGATACCCTTTAATAGTAAACTACAGAACGTGTAGCCTTATGAAAATATTTTTCAAACACTTAGTCTGAAAGGCATGTGCCTATTCGCAATCGGAAGTTTGTCGATGATTGAAGGGATGAACCACAGCTTTCCTCTACCAATATATGCCTTACTCTCAGAAGTAAGACATCTCTTCTGTTGCCCTGAAGATGATTTCCAGAATTAAAAAAATAACCCTTAAAACAAACTGATGTCCTCATGCTTAGTTCCACCTTAGATGAAATGTAAACTTACAAACTAGTTGTATGTGTGTAGATTAGAAAGAGGTAAGATAAGGATCTGCAGTATTTTATGAAGTATTAATCGTACAAAGGTCAGTTTTATACAAGTAGAAGTGTGTATTTACCTGGTAGTAGGCTGTCAGTAATGGCTACGCTCTCTATTTGGACTGGTAGATCTCGGCAGACTGGCAACTTTAAAAGTAGCTCTTGGTTCAAAAAAGTTTGGGCACCCCTGGCCTAAAGGGACCATCTGATGAGTCAATTGAACGTATCGTATTGCGCCTGAAGGGACCATCTGATGAGTCAATTGAACGTATCGTATTGCGCCTGAAGGGACCATCTGATGAGTCAATTGAACGTATCGTATTGCGCCTGAAGGGACCATCTGATGAGTCAATTGAACGTATCGTATTGCGCCTGAAGGGACCATCTGATGAGTCAATTGAACGTATCGTATTGCGCCTGAAGGGACCATCTGATGAGTCAATTGAACGTATCGTATTGCGCCTGAAGGGGACCATCTGATGTGTCAATTGAACGTATCCTATTGCGCCTGAAGGGACCATTTTAACTGTTTTATTACCAATTTTGTAACATATTATTACAAGAAAGTAGAGGAACATCCAATCCACGTTTTCTTTAAACCCACATTACACGGCCCTTCCCAGCATGGCACCGATACAAATCACATCACAGAGCAAACCCATGGCATATATTCTGCACACATGGAACCATAAGTGCAGATTAGTTTTACCCCTTACGGTTCTCTTCTACTTCCACACATAGACAGAGAGAAAACCAGGGATAGAAAAAGCTGAGGAGAGATTGCCATCACATATATTGTTCTCAGGATTTCGAGCTTTCCTCTTCCCATTCAGATATTTCCGATACAGTTGTTGTTGTAGAAGTAATAAGAGTTACAGGAACGCAACATTAGATTATTTATCTCATAAAGCTTCTTCTTCTGTTGGCTTCAAGTTTGCATTAAGTCTGGAATGCCCGTAACTGCCTTTTGAGTCTTTTCCGTTAGTCCATAATGTTTTGAATTTTTTATTTTAAATAAATAGTAGGACATTTTGCCAGCAGCGAAAGTTGGTTAGCTTAGTAGAGCTGTATCGTACATAGACCCACTGGATGACTTTGAAAATCATCCAAGAGAAGTCGTCTTTTCGAATGTTTGACTCAACCTGCTTCTTCAATAGCTTTTCTGTGTAGCATAACAAAACAAATTCAAGAACATCTGAATCAGATCGTTCGAACCATTCAAAAGTAAAATAATATTTCTTTATTCATTTTTATATTATATATTTTGTGCCTTTGTTGGTCCACTCTAATCGTTTCATTGCGATGCACACGTAATGACATTAAGTAGACAAACTGAGACGTATTGCCAGAGATCTCATTATTGTCTTTCATCTGTTTTGTTCAATAGTGTTGAACATATTTGAGTGTTCTTCAGAGGTGTTGCTGTTTAAAGGATAGTTACTGATGCAGCTCTCTTCATATCGTATGAATGAATATGAGTTTCTCACCCTTCACTTAAGGCAAGGCAAGTTTATTTATATAGCACCTTTCAACACAAGGCAATTCAAAGTGCTTTACAAAAAACGAAAGACATTAAGAAAATGGCATTTAAAATCAGTCATTAAAAAGAAAAGCTAATAAAATAAACATTAAAAGAAAAAGTACATGGATAAAAGTTACAGTGCAGTTTAAGATGTGAATAGTTCAATTAAAAGCAGCGACAAAAAGAAAAGTCTTTAGTCTGGATTTAAAAGTAGTCAGAGTTGCAGCGGACCTGCAGTTAGACTTAGCATATACATGAAAGACAGGAAAGAAGTTAGTCTGGCTACGTCACAAATGTCCCAATATAATCCTACCCTTGCCTCTAAAGCTCACAATAAAAACATGACGTCTTGTTTGATTTATCTGAATTTGTTATTGAACCTTTGGGCAGGGAAAAGTGAATGTTTCCCTTGTTTCCAGTCTTAATGCTGAGCTAATCTCACTGTCTCCTGGGACGCAGTTTGTTTAAGATAAGATTTACTTTATTGATCCCAATTTAGGAAAAAAACGAATTGGGATCAATCAATTAAATCTAATATTGTCATCTTAATGTAAGGGAAAAGTTCTATTATTTTTTTGCAAAGAGTTGATGAGGAGATCAATACCACTCTAATATCTGGGCAATGAACTGGACCCAGGAGATAGTTAGCTTATCCTAGCATTTAGTTGGTCTGTAAATACAATGTTCTGCATTGTTTGGGTAATTGTACTCAGACGTATCCTACAACTTTTAACTAAGCTTGCCCTTAAATTAGATATGATGTATGTCCAATCCAGTTGTTCCAACGTCCTCTAGTCTAGAACTTCAAAATGGACCAAAAGAATCATCAAAATGATCAATGGGAGTTTGACTACGGCCACTTCCTGGTTAAAACTGCCATGTAGGATCATTTAATGTCAGAAATTGATTCAGCACACAAAATTACCCCCGAAATCACTCGCATACTGTCCAAGTCGGCCAAGACGATTTAAAATGATTGTTCATATGGGTGATTATGCTAATTCACACCATTTATGCTAATGTTGCAAATTGCCCAACATATGCAAATTATTACCCAGCAGTTTCTTAATACTGGGGGTGCGTACTATACTGTACATTTGTAACATAAAACTTTGACATAAAGCTCCGGGTTTATTTATTCTGTATTATTAGGGCTGGTGGATACATCGATTTTGTTATGGCCGTCATAATTTTGCAAGCTTGCACGATGGCCCCTGTTTAAAGAAAAAAGCTTTTTTGGGGTAACATACAGTATATGGACAAGTATGCAATATATATAATATATATATATATAAGCGAGACAAAAACAAGTTTCTTCTTCCATATTAAGGATTGTATTTGACATCCTTTTTGAAGACAATTGCTGCCCAGCTCGCGTTCTCCTCTCTCACGTGGCTCCATTGTCATCCCTCTAATCACTGCCACTGAAAAATCCCTTTCATAGCGGGACACCTCAAGCATTGTGCCTCACAGCGGGGATGATGTCTGGCTCAACCTAATTTTGCACTTTTTTAATGTCCTATTATTCTTCCAGAGGTGGTCTACTTTTTTCAGTTCTACAATCTAACTGCTTCATTTGATTTGTCCTCGCAGATGGAGATAGATAAACTGAAGCGGAGCACCCACTCGACGTGAGGCCCTCGGTCCTATCAACAGCAAGCCTTAAGGTCAGCTGGTGTCCTGTCGACCAACCAGAGAGCAGCAGGGCGGTGGCGGGTGTTTGCTGAATGGACGGAGAGAGGGTGGGGAATCACACGAACCACCCCGAGCACAATCCTTCTTTTTTTTCCAATGATCTACGAAAATAAAATCCCCATATTTGTAAGATTTACACTTTGCACATATAAAGAAAGCTAGATGTCATTTAGTTACAAATGTATATGTTTCTCTTTTCTTTTTTTTGCCGATACAAAAAAATGAGGCCTTACTTCAAACTACTGCGCTGGACTCTCCCGCTCTTTGTCTGTCACTCCGGCGTTCCTTGACCTCCATCAGGGTGGAGGTTCGTACTACTGACTTTGTATAAAACAGGGGTCGCTTGTTTGCCCCGCCTAATTTTTTTAATGGTGCACAAATAGTTGATTTTAAAATTGATTTCAGTTATTTTGATCGTCTTCGCTTATTGTTTTGTTTCCTACACGGCGCCCATCAGCAGTACTCCACCCTGCAGCGCTCTTATTTTATATAGCATTCCTATCCAGGGTAACACTACTGTGCCTGTTTAAAAAAAATATATATAAAGTGTTTATAATTGGAGCTTACAAATACCATGATGGTGTCTAGAAATGTTGCAGCATGATATTGTATATCTATATTTTTTAAGTCCACTGACATGCCTACAGTCAAATACTACAGTATATAGAGAGCCTCTTCTGTGCCGGGCTCTTCTATTTTTGACACAAATCGCTGGGAATGTTCTCAGAAGTTTAGCCAGTTTATGCAGATAGATATTGCATGCAAAAAACGTAAAAGAAGAAAGGAGACTGCACTCTTCCATTATCAAGGTTTCTGACCAACACATTTATCAAATGAGGCATCCTCGTGATGATCATCTCTACAACCTGCTATTCATTCCAGCCATCGTCCCTTTTATCCCTGCCACGGCCCGTTCTACCTCTTCCCCTTCTTTCTCCAATCTCTCTAAGATTCCAAATGAATCCTTTGTCCTGTAGTGTTATCTAATCATATTCTACATGTCTACCTGTAGTCTGCATATCTTCCCACATTCCAACTACACAAGTTAACTGGAAGCAGAGAGCAGCAATAATGAATGAATGAAAATGACATTAACTCACACTCCTTATCCTATCAGTTTGAGGAGCAAAGAGTTAATATGTGTACCTTTTTAATGTGGTTATATTGTGCTTCAAAACATTTTCTGGGTTCATTTCCTATGTAGAAAAATGAGACAATCCTGGTGAAAAATGTGTGAAATCTGTTTCATTTTAGCCAGAGCTATCCATCAGAGCACCTGGATTATGTCTATTAACATAATATACATTGCAAATACATTTGGTACAGACATTCATGGCCCCCAGAGGATATATCCTTGGTGATCCCCCGGTTTCATTTCTTTGTGTGACACCAATAACATATCAAAGTTCTCATTATCCATTGAAAAGTAGTTTCATCGGCCCAATATTTATCAAATGTGTCCCAACTAAAAAATATATAAGAGTTACTTAATGCCCGACTGGCAGAAGCAGTGTTTCAAATGTTACCATGCTTACAAGCTAAATCAATTTAGTAAACACTGTTAACATTAGCAAGTACGCTTTACTCCTGAACAATACTGGACTTTAAAGCCGATATTAATTAAAAAAAGTTGCAACTAATCTGCCAGCTATTTGTCTGCCAATGTCAAATATTATCTGTGTTAATACAAGTCTAACAAACATTTTTGATAAGGATTTTACAGTTTCAAAAATAACAAACAAAACCATTTGTCATGCAGTTTTTAAAAAAAACATACCTTTGGAGCATTGACTGCTTTGTTAGCATTTCACTCAAAGCTCAGAGTAAAGACTCAGACAGCTACCAGAGAGACACCCCCACTAGGATTCGCTAAACTCTAAAACATTCAAATCCCACACATAACTCCTTTTTAAGATGAATAAAGTAACAGGAAAATTAAGTGTACACTGATTAAAAATGGTGATTCCAATTTGTTTCTGCACCACATAACTACTTCTGTCTTTCTGGATGCTTATCTGTATTAATATCAGAGTAAGCACAGTTCAGGGCTACAGAAATGGGTGGAACTAATTGGTAATACAATGTCAGTGACTCTCTGTCGACTCTAACTTGTAGCCCTGAGCTCTGAACGTACAGTGTAAGGGTTCACCGCTGAGCCAACTTTCAGGACACCAGTGCAGTACCAAGTGGAATACCCTCTGGAGTCTATATGGGTTAGAGGAGCATTTCAGTCCTGAATCGGAATTTTGTAGAGCTGTTTAACCTTTAAAGAAATTAATGTTTCTTTTTTTTAAATATATATATCTATACATGTCTCACAAATGTCTTAAAGAAGTGTTACTTTGCTTTTAAATCATCCTCAGGCTTTGTTCCATGTGTCTGATGTGTGTGTGCATGCTCGCAAAGTGTAACAGAGGCCATGATGTTGGACTCCAGAGTGCTTTGACCAAGTTTATACTGTATATCTGACCTTAATGAGCATGGCACTCGTGCAAAACGCTTCCTGTTTGAGGAAGCAGCTCTTAAATGATATGTCTGGGTGATGAAATAATCACAATTTGGGAAACGGGGACCTGGGATTTGGGTGATAGCTCATCACATGATATCTGTAATACGGCTTCCACATATTGTACATTCCAGAGTTTGACACCAAGAGAATAAGAAATATGTGCACATGTATAACATGTTCAAGTGATTTGTTTACAAAAGCTGTATCCTTGCATGAGCTGAGATTCTTTTCAAAATTGAATAAATATCTTTATTTACTGTCACATACTTGTTGCTTCTTCCTTTCCCTTATATTGTGCATCACTTGAAATGCTTCACAGACAACCTTCTGACTTTGTCATTGTCATTCTCGAACTCTTAAAAAACATTCTTGAATTATTGAGTGGAACATATAGAGTTTCTGAGGAAATGCATCCCACAGAGAAATTAGCCGTGGGTGGTGCGTTGCCTCTGTGAAATGTTCTGAGGTTTTGGTTGGGCGATGTATCGGACTGTGGTGGAGAAGGGGGTGCTTTCGATTTACCAACCAATCGATGTTCCATCCCTAACCTCATGACCAAAACCCTGTGTTTAAACACAGTTCTATTTCTCTGACTTTCCTTCCCCTACTGTAACTTTATAACCTCAAACCAGTGACAAGCACCAAACAAATGCATAACTGGGCTTTTAAATCATCTTATTGAACACAGTCTGACATCAGCAGCTTGGTTCTGATGCTGACAAAAATATAAAAAAAGAAAATGTTCAAATGGTCTTTTTCATAATTTCAACAAAAACTATAATTAATTCTAATTAGGTTGTCTTCTTTGCCCTTAAATTTAAATGCAAACTAACTTTTCTGTAAATGTAGCCAGTCGGTTCATAATCATTTTTGACGGAACAGTTTTGCTCAGTCTTTTTCAAATAAACATCTGTATCCAAATAAAATCGTATAGTTGGTCCTTATATATGCATACAGTCTTCAAAATAAGCTTCCAACGTAGCATAACTTAGTAACTTACCCAGGAACAACTCCTTGGTTAGGTTTAGGCAAGAAAATAACAGGGTTAAGATGAGGAATAGATCATGGTTTTATAGGGATGTAACGATACCAAAAACTCACGGTACGATAATATCGCGATAAAAAGTCCACGGTACGATATTTATCGCGATATTGATAAATAAAGAAAAAAAATGTGAATTTTTTTTTTAATAGTTTTTTTTTTTTTTTTTACTTGAATTGTTTTTTTTAATTAAATAATAAAACTGATTTGTACAGCATTTTAGTAGGATAGTAGTATTTTAAAGTGTCAACAATATAATAATCAGACCCTGCAATAGAATAAATCAAGTTTCACTTTAGTTTTTCAAATAACTCAACTCTAACTCACTCACTCACTCAGCATCATCAAGGTTATCTTTTAGGAATATGAGCATGTCCACATTTCCAGGTAGAAGCTGGGATGTTTGGGCGTTTACAAAATCCCCTGCTGTGGAAAAAACTCTCTTGCTTGGTACTGATGTTGCTGGGACAGAGAGATATGCTTTGGCCATGGGTGACAGCAGTGGGTCAAACTGTGCATTGTCTCTCCACCACTTCAAAAACAATACAGTGTTTGCCAAGAAGGTGAGGCTTATTGACAGAGATATAAATATACTGTTGGTACTTGTCCATGTCTCTAGGTATGTACATGTAGCCCTGTAAATGCCATGTCCTTTTGTGTTATCTGTTGTGTGTTATGTTCATGTTGTAACCTACTTGCTGCCATGTTGGACAGGTCTCCCTTGAAAAAGAGATTGAATAAAGGTTTAAATAAAAAAAAATTATTTAAAAAATAAAAATCGCGGTATATTTTGTCAGTCTCACGACGGTATTGAGACATTTATTTACCGCGATATTCGATATATCGTTACATCCCTATGGTTTTATGTAAAACACACATAAGTTATTACATTGCATTTAGCTGACGCTTTTATCCAAAGCGACTTACAATAAGTACATTCGACCAGGAAGATACAACCTTGAAGAAAACAGAATCATATAAGTACATCAGGTTTCATAGAGCCAAACATTTCAAGTGCTACTCAACTGGCTTTAGATAAGCCAGTCCTTTATTAGTATATAAGTGCTTTGTTAGTAATTATTTGTTAGTTATTCTATCGCTCGAAGTGGAGTCGAAAGAGATGAGTTTTATGTCACCAAAAGGTGTATAAAGTCATCATCAGGACACAGGACACGAAAAAGCGGCCTCTTGGGTGAAAGTCTGTGTTTGTTGGACGGATCCATTTTAAGCTGTTCTCCACACGTTAGTGTACGCTCTCGTTCGTTGGCAGTAAGCATTGCTTCTGCAAAAGCAATGGGATTTTTCAATTGGGTTTGGGAATATTGCAGAAAATAAGATCTGCGACACACATGTTTCTGATACTTACATGTTTTCTTCAGCAGGACGATCTCCACATATTAACACCACTTTTATAATGGATTAAGCATAACTGCATCTCCAAAAGTAAAAAGCTAACGTTCGGCTATTAAAAGTACTACATGAGAGTGTACTTCATTACTTCACATTAACACCGCTAAGCTAAAGGAGGTTAATGTTCGGTGTGATGACGATGACTCATTTTGTCACTTGTTAGCTACCACTGTTTTTAACCCTTATGTTGTGTTCGGCTCTCCCGTGACCCGTTTCAAGTTAAAATTATATAATAACTACGCTCTAGTTTTTTTTAACGGAAGAATGCTTCATGATATCCTCCACAACAGCTATATAAATACTACAAAACTGATTTTGACCATTTCAATTAGCTTATATTAACCACAGACATTATTTTTGGAAGTCTTAGGATTCATTCCTGCACTTCTATTGGAATTGGAAGAAGATTTCAGTGTTAAAGGTCAAGGCGACAGTCTGCAAGATTTCAGATAGAGGCTAAAGCTTCTTTGTAACGTTGACTAAATGATACACAAGCAAGAATCCATCATAAATAGGCTAGCTAACTTCCCTCAGCAGACCAGGATGGATTGCAGTCTTATCTCATATCTGACAGTGAAAATGTGAAATACAGAACTCATCTGAACATCATAACTCCCAGGCTCTGCTCCCCATCATTCTGAACTGGACAGATGTTCTCTCTCCTGCATGCAGGACAACAGTTTTCTCTCTGGAGACTGTTAAAGTTATGTATCTGACGCAGGGTCAACCTCAATCATTGATCAAGTAAGGGGTGGGAATTAATAAGCATTTGCTTCCTCCTACTCCCTTTCGGACACACATGATTTTTTATTATTATTATTAATATGAAGACTTTTTTTTGTTGAATATATAAATATTATCATGAATGTGGATAAATACTGTATTTTAACAATACGGTATTCTGTTTTTCACATTTGTTATTTGTTATTTTTTTTTATCTGTTCGAAATAAAGATTGAAATGAACCTTGTAACTGAAGAAGGCAAAAGATGGAACACGTTAATTGGAAAAACCACATAAAGGTTAAGTGAGTTTGTTATCTGTTATTCAATGTTTACAAATCCTCACAAAGACATGGGATAAGCTAAGGTCAGGCATGTGTGTAAGAACATATTCGTGAGTGTGTGTTCAGAGATCAAAGCAGGCCGCACTAGATCAAACCATTCTGCAGAGGCTTTCTGCAGCAAGTAGCAAAGAGGGTTATCCTTTTGAAGTCACTCACTCTTTTCCTCGCTTCCACTTCTCATCCATTCTCTTAGCCCCTGTTTGCTTTGACCTTCTTATCGGTATCATGTGACTTTAGTTCATTTCATGCTCCTTAGCCACAGGGACTACCAAAATGATCTCAGTTCAGCTTCAAAACCATTTTTACATCATGGCTTTGTTGGGTTTTCCAACATGTTATCCAATCTCACCTCATCCGTGTTAACGCAGTGTATGTGGACGAGGGACACGGCCATTTCATGGGTATTTCACAAAGTGTTCTTGCGTGAAACCGGGGTATTTTGCAGCAGCCAAACAGCCTCTTTCTCACTGAAGCACATGTGCAGTAAATCTAGAACAACCCGTACAGTCTGAGCCTCCTACATAGATCTCTTTGATGAAGGGCACTCACTGTATTGAGTTTATCGCACCATATATGCACACATACTTGTGGAAAATGGTCTAGGTTGAACCCCCCCCCAGGTCACAGAGGACAATATACAGTTGAGGACTTTTATAATTTTCCATCATTTAGTGGAACCACAAATGATTAGTTTTGAGGTATAATCGTTTACTATACACAATAAAATAATCTTTTTAAATGTTGTTAAGATAAATTAAAATACCAAAACCTGACCGGGTCTCCTTTATGGTGTAGCTTTCCAAGTGATATTTCTGTTGTTGAAATGAAGTTCTGTTTTCTACCGAGGTGACAACAACACAGTACACACTGAATTTAGTCCAAACAATGTCGAATTGGAAATGTCATGATCACAGTGTCTGTCCTTTTGTGTATCCTGTTTTATTTTGTCGAACACTGTCACTACCCGATCCGTCCCCCTGCCCTATTTGCAGTGCGCATGTGTGAGATGGTCCGCCATATTGGACAACTCCGTACAGCAACGGTAGGACACTTGACACAGTGGCTTTTGGCAAAGCACAAAGAGAGAGAGAGAGAGAGAGAGAGAGAGAGAGAGAGAGAGAGAGAGAGGAGAGAGAGAGAGAGAGAGAGAGAGAGGAGAGAGACGATAGAGAGAGAGCTAGCAGCATATGCGACGGAGTCGGAGCATCTACGCTCGAGAGCTAGCTATCTAGCGAGCTAGTCTCCTCAGGTCTTCCGAAATCTCCATTCCCTTCCTCCCTTTGACCCCACAACTGCTTTTTGTGATTACACGTGACTTCACTATTATTCAACACTCTTTGTATTGGTCTCTTTATTTGGGGTTAAGTACATTGTCAGAATAAGTGAGAAATGGATTTAACTTCTGTTAGACGGCTATCATAATGAAAAATATTGACTGTGACTGTATGCAATTATGATGGAAAAACCATAATTTATATCTAATTACATTAACTGTGAATGTCCATCATTTTATTTCAAATAAAATAACAAAAGATTTTTGTGTAGATATTTGAGACGTTTATGACTCGATGCAAATCGGGCAGCCGTCTAGACGTCTAATGTCCTATTTGAGTTGCCGTATGTAGTTGTCAAATATGGCGGACCATCTCGCACATGCACACTGCAGATAGGGCAGGGCTGCAGATCGGGTAGTGACAAAAGCCTCATCCCAATACCCCTCCTCGACTCCTCTCTTCCCCTCCTCC